AAGGCGTGCAAGACTGCAAGTTCAATGCCACGCAGCTAATAACAAACGGCGTCACGAAGTCAGCTAGCGGAGGGGTTGATTTGCATTAAACATGAGGTTGGAGGGCTTATTTGCCACCTTTTTAGTTTAGGCGCTTGTCACTTGCTGTCAAAAAGTTGAGGGGCTTAAGAAGCGGTTTTGCCAAAAATTTAATACTTTCTAAAAGTATAAGAGAAGCGGAATCCTTTTGCCCATTCGATTGAGTTTATAAAGATTTAACACCATACAATTCTTGTTCGACAAGAAACAAGGATTTGCATTTCGTTATATATATAAATATAAAGAATTTTAATATATTTATATATATATATAACACTAAAGAACCTGCTTACCTTTTATTTCAATTGCATTGTTCCCGTCATGAAATGATTTAATAATTAAAAATTTGATATTTTAAAGTAAAAATTTTAAATTTAAATTTTGAATGGAATAAAATTTTTTTTTTTAAATGAGAGTTTATTTTCTCTTATATGGATTGTACCAAAAAAAATAAAAATAAAAATAAAGATTGCATTCTTCCTTCCTCTCCCTCCTTGCATTATTCCATTTATTTTGAACTAAAAATGCCATTAGATGAAAGATTAATATTCATTTTTTTTCACATGTTATCTGAAGTTATATAAGAAAAAATATTTAACAAAAATATAATTACACAACATAAATTATTAAATTAAAAATGATTTTTTTAATATTAAAAGTTATTTTTTTATTCAATAATTTTATTTTACAATATAGAGTCAAAATAGAAAAGATTAAAAATATCCAACCACCCATAAAAGCAACAGTTTTATAATTTTATTACTGTATTTAGAAATCTCAAATTATGAGCTAAAAATTACAGAAAATTATCATTATTTTGAAGAACTTTTTTTTTTTTTGGATAAATTACTTTAGGAAACTAATTTTTTTTTTTATATTGCTGGGAAGGAAAGTTCCTCTTAAAGAGCAGTGCTAGGGGCACTCGCCTCCTGCACTCTCCGGCCAACACTCCTCCTTTCATTGGCCCACGTTATTTTA